TTATGATAGCAATATCTATAACAAGATAAAGAGTTCTACTTCTCTTATGGTAGCCAACTGAATATCATTCCTGCCTCCCAGAGAAGAAGATACTTATATGAAAGAACCTTTTTATACTACTACTAAATTCATGAAAGCAGTTTTTCTTTGTGTTTGAATAAAATGTTTTGTTTTTTTTTAAACTGGGGTAACAAAAGACTTTCTAAAATTTATTAGAGAATTTAAAATTTGTTCAATTCCTCTTTCAATTCAATTTTTAAAACAAATTTGTTTTCATAAGGTTAAGCAAAAGGAAATCCGAAGTTGCTACTTAAGGACATTATGAAAATGTCTAAAGAGGCCTAATTTATACGTGGCTGTGTGTACCTGCACAGCTGTATGTAATGCCAAGCTTCAATGTTTTGCACAAAAATGAAGAAATATATAAATATCACAGAGGTGCTCTTCTGGCTGAAATAAGTGATCAGATGCAGGAGAGCTTTGTCTACTGGTGTGGCCTGGGAGTAATGCTTCCTGTCTGACCTTTGAAAAATCTGCACCAGGAAAATCAATGCTTCAGTTAGCTCCCACAAAAGAACTGTTAGGAAGCCAGTGACTGCAACTTTCCTATCATGACGAGCACATTCCTATAAATGAGCTCTGAAAAATTATATAATATCTTAATTTTCTATTTATTTTACTTAAAATCAAGTAAATTATCATTTTGAAATTAGACCTTAGAAAAATTAATTTCCAAGATGGTTTACAGAATGTATATATTTACGCAGTTCAAAAGGTTTAACCATTGATTGCATCAGTATAATTACAACTAGGCATGCTAATGTATTTTATTATATTCCTTTTTAAATTAATATTGTACAGAATAGGATCCTCTGAAGTGGGCATTTTTTTTTTTTTTACCAAGATGAAGAGGAAGCTTTTGTAGCTATTTTTCTTTTTAAGACAAAAATATGTGCACCTTATTTAGATTTTATTTTAAAATGTACATGTTAAAATTACTAGTATCTATAATAAGGTATACAAAGTATAAAATATTCATCTAATGATATAAAGTAATCATTGGTACGGAATCATGATAAGGCACAAAGCCATTATGCGTTGACTTGGAAGGATGGGTAGAGGAAGAGAGAGATGGAGGCACATGTCTTGCCACAACAATGAAGCAGTGGGTAATACATGATAATGGTGGGATGTTCCGAATCATCCCAAAATATAATTCAGATTTTGAGAAATTGCTTTTTGAATGCCTGATGCTACTTGGGATGAACATAGTTTGGGTGGTTTACAAAAATGAGTGTTTTAACTACTGAGACATGGAATTCTCCCTTCTTGGGTTTTTGTCTAGCACACTAACCTCACAAAGCCCTATGAATAAAAGGAGAAAATCTTAAGATATATAAAGCCCTCACCCTTTAAGCTGTTTGCAGTAACTGTAGCTTCCTAATATACCCATTGTATTGCTAATGCTAGCATCTTATAGACCAGATGAAGTTATACATTTACATTATGGTCAATGAGGTTGTGATCACAGTTTACTGACCAGACAGACTCCGGACTTGAAATTCTGTAGGAATAGATCCTGTTGAAAGACTGTAACTCTTAAAAGTATAATTTTGTAGAAGCTTCTTTCTGCATGTGCACACGGCTGTAGAGGGACTCCAGTCCAAACTATATCACTTCAGAGCTACTGGGTATCAAGCTGAGATGACTTTGTGCAGTTATTGTTTTCACAGTTGTATACTCTAGTCAGATGCAGGTGAAATTTGCATATTTTGAAAGATAACACTTTAGAATAGAACTGAGGTGGAATTCAGAATTGGAATTGAGATGTTCTTGGTTGGAAATCCTGAGAATATATTCTTACTAATTTTTGTTTTGTTTTGCTTAAAGTTCTACTGAGGCATCTGGATGTATTCATTGCTTTTCTTATTTCTTGTGATTTTTGTTTTAACAAAATTTCATTTTGTTAAAAGTGATAGATTTCCTGTGAAAGCTGTGGTTGTAATTTATAATTTGTAACTAATAAAACTACTACCACACTCTTGTAAAGAACTGGACTCATCTAACTTTTAAGTACAGATGTGCCTTGATTTCTGGTGGAGTTACATCCTGATACACTCACTATGGGTTTAAAATATCCTGGCCTACTGACCATCATAGTTCAGAAAGTCAGTGCTACAGGTGGAGTATCAGCTGCTAGCCGGCATGATCACTTTTTACTGGGAGCTGCAACCTGTTGCCCTGCCAGGAAATAGAAGTGTTATACAGTGTTATACCTAGCCCAGGAAGGTAACTTGAAATGCAAATTCTACTAAATGTACATCACTTTCACAATACTCAAAAACAGAACAAAAACAACCAAATCAGATAAAGCATTATAAACCGGGGGCCATTTGTATTAGCTGTCGTTCGTTTTATCTCATCGGAACTATGTTTTATGAAGTAGGAAACTAAAACAAAGGGTTACAGACCCAGGACATTTTACCTTAAGACTAGTATTCTTTCAGTGCCAGTTTTTTTCCTCTTTTTCTTAAGTCATTAAATCCAGTGGTTGGCCTCATAAATGACAATATGAAAGAACAGAAAAAAATATACTGACCAAAATGGAGTTTCAGTCGCCAATCATAAAAACATACAAGAACGCTGCTGCTGTGACTTGAATGTGCAATGTGCCCCACTGGCTCATGTGCTTGATCATTTTGTTGCCATCTGGTGGTGCTTTGTGGAAAGTCATGGGATCCATAGGCGGTGGAGATTTACAGGAAACATGTCACTGGGGGCAGGCTTTGAGGTTTTGTAGCCTGCCTCTAGTTGCTATTTCTTTTTTGTTTCCTGTCCACTGAGACAATCTGATCAACTGACATACTCCCATGACTTCACCATTATGATAGATTCTATTCCTTGGAAACGGTGAAGCAAAATAAATCCTTTCCCCTTAAGTTGCTTTTGACAGAGTATTTTATCATAGCAGATGTGAAAACTAAGACTGGTCCATTCATTCACTGAGCCAACAGACCTGCAGATTTCAATGCTATTCAAGAAAAAAAAAAAAAAAAACAAACCCAAGTCTCTAACCCTCACATAACTTGAGTGCAAGAAATACTTATGAAAGCCAAATAAAAACATAGTATTGCTACTTTTATAACTGCTTCTTGTTGCACACTTGATCCAAGTTCTACAAAAATGAAAATGACTGTTTTTCTCAACTCCAGCACTTTCTATGGTGGGGCAAAATTTTTTACTTCAAGTGCTCATGTATGTGCTAATGTACTAAGCATTATTTCTCTAAGGTCTTCAATTTAGTGTTACAGTAACTGTAACAACTCTTGATACAAGCTTGTGTCAGGCCATTTTGTTAAGTCAAGATTGCATTTGAACTATAAACAACAAACTCATTTGAACTCTTTATAAAGGGGATTTGGAGTTTATACCAAACCAGTGTATATCAACAGATAGGTGTTTCTCAAATCAAAAACATCTGCAGGTGAAATTTTAAGTGTGTAAATATATATTTCATCTCTAAATGATGGGTTTATGTCGGTACTCGATTCTAATTTATTGTGAATAATTTAATCAAGTATTTACAAAGCAGTTTAAAATCTTTCCATAAAAAAAGACCAAGCTTAACTTGAAATTTTTAGCTTTACAAAGATTATCAATTTATTTTAGAATGCTTAAAAAAAATAGGGATAAAGGAAGACACATTGAGGTTAGATTTTGTAGCATACGTTGAGAGTGATAAAATATTACTCAGTGAATATAGGAAATTACAAGATTGTTTTAGGAAAAACTGAGGTATTGATTGTAAAAAAAAAAAAAAGGATGCTGCATTTCACTATAATACATTTATTGGTCTGATACAGAAAACATTCTATTTGCTGTTGGAATACCTATGTAAACTGATGGCTAATTCATTAGCTTACATGGACCACCCACCTCATGTAGGATCACATGATCCTGGAGTTCAGAGGAGAGCTTTTCCCATGACAGAAACCAAAGGGTCAATTTTGAGGATAGCTTTCTTGTAACACCCACTCTTGCTAGAACTAATTGTTGGACACATGAGAGCTAATAAATCCTTCCCAAGGACATTCTGATCCCCTAACAGGCTGTACCTGTCATCCACCAACTGCACTTTCATACTGGGAACCAAGCTACTAAGACATGAAACCTTAGGGGACAAACTGCATCCTCACCATATTCAAGACATATGAATACTTTCTGACTCAACAGAAATCTCAAGAACTAATCATTAGGTAGGAGCTCCTTTTATACTGAGATAACTACATTAAAATGTTACAACATTGTTGAGGCAATAAAAACAGCCTGTCCTTTTACTGTCAAGAAGCCATGAGTAAACTAGTTATAAATTCCCATCTGGAAATACATACTCAGTAATTCTCAGAATGTGCAGCCAGGATGATCCAAAACTCATCATTTATTAAATATTCACATGTGCACTTATCCTTACACTGGCCAGGCATGGAAAGAGGGAAACATGAGAAAAGTATATTGCATTAGAAAGACAGGAACATTTATAATCTAATGGAGGAGAAAACTTCCTAAGAAAATGGTAAGGTGATGAAGAACACATCATAGAGAGGGTAAGGGAAATCAGTTATCAAAATTAATTTTCATGAAAGAGGAAGTAATTGGAGAGAAGTTGAGAAGTTCAGTTGGGAACATCAGTTGAAATGAGGCTAATGACCGACACTGAACATTCAGAAAATTATAAAATACTGGAACACTTTATAGTGAGTCATGCCTGTCACCCCATAAGGTACATTATTTCAGGACATTTAAATCTTGAGGTATTTTACCAGGTGCATAGTGCATATGCCATCTGCATATGCCATCAATCTTCTGAAGTTCTCATGAATCAGTCATTATAATCACTATTTTCACACACTATGGAAATTTAAAATGCTAAACAGACTAAAATAAATAGATCCATGTTTGGCTAAATAATATTAGTGTTTTAATGTAATAAACAACAGAGATTTGATCATAAAATTTTTATTAAGTTACAGTATGTTACATCTTTTGTTCCAATAATGATTTTTTTTTAATCTTTAGAGTAATGTGATATAAAAACCTATTTGGACATAATTACTTCTTAAGTTTCTTTTGGGCAGCTTTCTTCTTAACCATTTGTAATCGCTTCATAGCGTTGAGCTGTGATTCTTGCGATGTTGGACCTTTAAGCGATGCTGAGGGATTGCTGCTGGACTCAGACGTGGTTTTGCTGGTGGTGCTTCCACTGGGCCCTGATGCAGCACTATTTCCATTCCCACTCAACTGGCTGCTGCCTCCAGGAACTAAACTACTAGGACTGGGAAGACCTACTTTGCTGACATTATCACAGCTAACTGAGCGACTCAGTCCAGTCTTGCCTAAGGTTAGAGGTGGAAGTGGCTTTAATGGGACAGAGGGGCTAGTGCTGTTACCAGAACCTATTTTGGAACCTATTCCACTTTTGGATGATGTTGCTAGACCAGTCAAACCCACAGGTTTCTGGTTAGCTGTTGAGGCAGCAGGTTTTCCACTATTGTTCTGTGCGGTTGAACTCAATTTTGCTGTTGATGGACCAGCTGAAGAAGTTTTGGCTGCAAAAGCTGCCCATCCAGTTAGGCCACTAGTTACTGAAGAGGACACGTTGTTACTAGAAGAATTTCCTGAAATAACTGTGGATGGCTAACAAAATAAAAAAATAAATCTTTCATTAGAGAAGTATAATCAACACCTGTATAATATATTTGAATATAAAATTTTTAATATTTGATGTAGACAATCTGGACAACATAGATAAATTAAGTTCTTATGGCGCTGAACTGGAAAAGCACATGGGAGTTTCTGTAGTCAGGGAGGATGCTACATAATTTGAAGTTCCTGAATGCCACATTGTTTTAATGATGTCAAAGAAAATACATGACATTCTATTTTGGAACTGCCTTTAGATTCAGTCACAAACCACAGCAGAGAACCAGATTTAGTTCTTCAAGCCCCGAACATATCACTTAGCTCACGACCATCCAAATGGAGTCTACTTTTAATGAGTAAAACTGTTTGCATACAAGATATTCAGGAGAAAAAATCTTAGACAAAAATCAATCGATGGTTATTTAGAGTGGACTTGTTAAATCTATATACATGCTCTAAAATACTTAAAATAACCAAGTTGCCAAAAACTTTCAACCACTACTACATCACAAAGCATACTCAGATAAGTAAGCTCCGAGGATGTTAGCAAGAGCTCACAAACGTGCTTAGAAACTATAGTAGCAGACACCATTTTCGCATAGCCAACTTTAACAGCTGCCTCTCAGGCTGTACTGTGGCATTTTGGGGAGGCTCACACTTCTGGATGATCTGTAAGGCTGTAACATTTCAGCTTCTCTGAGCACCTTCCTACCTGGACTGATGAGAAGCTTGTAAGTGACACTGTTTTAAGCACATAGGATGATTTTTGTTCACTCTCACATTCTTTGTCTACCTTCATATTGAGAAGATCTCAGAAAAGCACTCAAAGGTGAAGTCAGATACAGGGCTATCCTGTATTTAAAATAATAATACATAATGTATAAAATGGTAATAAAATAGCTAGAATACCTATTTATATTTTAGAATTGAACTCTTATGAAACAGTTGGCGAAACATCTTTAGCTCTTACAAGGTTGCCTTCAATACTGTGTGTAATAAGTACTTTTAACAACCAGAAAAGCAATCAAAGTAAGAGTGCTGTGGGGCCTTTGTTTGATGACAGATGTTAAAATGTTTCTGCACATGTTCTGAAAACCACAAATTTTTATAATAGCATCATATAATTATGTCATGATAACCTGATTAGGAAACCATCTTATAAAACATGAATTCCTGGAACACACACAGTTGGTGACAGAAAAAGAAAGCAAAAGGACACAGTGTGGCAAACTTAATTTTCTGTTTGAAAATTTCTTTTTTCTTCTTCTTCTTTCCTTTCTATAAAACATGAAACCCTCTGCTAGATGGTTATATGACCCTTCATCAAACTTCACCACAGGAAACTTACCTGAACCAGCTGAAGATTAATGCACAATGAGGGATCGACAAGAAAGCAAGACCTATGTGTTGAACACTTTATTTTAATGACTGCTGTGGCCTGTGCTGTTCCACAGAGTGACAGATTGTATAGAACACAACTAGGAAACACAGATGTAAAACAGCACAAACTTGGGAAACGTACTAATGTCTCGTATTTCAATGCAGAAAGTAAATTTCTGATCTAAATGCTCCTTTCCTATCTAATTAATGATGAGCTGCCTTGAATTCCAACATCAGTCATTCAAATAATGAAGTTTCTTAGCGAACTTTACCAAGTGACTCCCTTCAGTCAGCCAGACCAAGATTTAACGCAGATGAAAACAGATACACTTTACCTTAACTTCTGTTCTCTTGAATGCTAGGAAGGTTGTCTCTTGTTTAAGTTTGGTTTCGGGTTTCTTAACTAATGGATCCTTGACAGCTGGAGCCACAGAAACAACAGTGGGTGCTGGTTTCTGCGGTGGCTTCTGAGTTTTCTGAGCCTATGAAAATCAGTAAAAAAATTATAAACAAAAAATTTTATTAATAACATAAAATTAAAAATGAATTAAATTATAAACCTTAAATGGTAGCAACAGTTCTTAAAAAGATATTGTAATGATACTGAAAGTAGAGACTACAAAAATAATTAACAAACAAATAGTGTTATAGATCTTAATAGTTTCTGAATTAATGACACTATCAATCATGCATATTAGGGTTGGTTAGATACTACCAAACAAGCTAACCCTCCTATTTTCAATAAAGAAAATTCACAAACTGGTATAGCTACCCTTTTTTATCCATACAGGACTGGTTCCAGAACCTCTGACAAACACCAAATTCTGTGGATGTTCAAGTTCCTTAGATTTAACTAGCTTAGCTTCTGGGCCTAGTGACATCTGTCTGCAATCTTAGTACTCAGGAGGATCTGATTCAAAACTAGTAGTTGAGGAGCAGTCTGGGCTATAAAACAAGTTCACAGTCAGCCTGATAAGTCACTAAGACCTTGTCTCAAAAACTTATGGGTTGACCAAGCTTGGTGGCACATGCCATTAGTCCCAGCATTTAGGAGGTGGAATCATGTGGGTCTCTGAGAGTTCAAGGCCAGCCTGGGCTGCCTAGTGAGTCCCAAAACAGCCAGTGGACATATTGAGATCTTGTCTCAAAAAGCAAGCAAACAAATGAAAGAAAAGAACCCCTAAGGGTTGGGGGCTGACTGGGTAAAGAGTTCAACCCCTGAAACCCATGTAAAGGCGGAGGGACAGAACCACCTCCATAAGCTTGTTGTTCTCTTTCTCTCTAAAACAAAATACCTTTTCAAAAAAGTTTTCAGCTCGCTCGCTCTCTCTCTTACACACACACACACACACACACACACCAAAACAAAATACTCCTAAAAGTTGGGGGATACAACCCAGTTATAAAGCACACTTTATAAGTAGCCTAGCATGTTCCATCTACAGCACTAGGGGAAAATACTGTATTCATAGATAACCTCCTGAAGACCTCTGTGGATAATAACTCATCTCTAGGTCACTAAAATGTAAATACCACATAAACAGCTCTTCATTAAATTGCTTTAGAAATAAGAGAAGGGAAACAAGCCTGTACATGCTTTGTACAGATGGCTTTCGTCAACATCTATTTTCAATCCAGAGTAGACTGAATGCGTAAATGCTGAATTCATAGAAACTGGGGACAGTCATGGATGCATATAGTTAGCATCACTCATTAAATAGTACACTTTATCTCTTTTTATGGTTAACCAAAGACTTACATATTTTTTCCTGGGGTTCAGGTATAAGTTTTTAAGTTACTAAAGGTGAGTTAAAAACAACTCATGTAATTTGCATGGTTTTAAACACTGAATGAGAAGGAAAGAATTATTCATGCATAAGTAATAAATCTTTGAGATTTTTCACACTAGTGAATTTAATCCTTAGAGAAAGTTTATAAATATAAATTTCCATGTTATCTAGGGAAAATTTTATTCATTTTTCCTAAGCATTATCAGTTTTATTTTGACCAGTAACTGACTTTATTTTATGACAAACCATGCTACTATATTCTCTTATAAATTTTAGTTATTTTTCAGATTCTTAAGTGTTTAACGTGTGAACAATCTAGCTATGTACGCAGTGTAGAGCAATGATTGAAACAGCTTTTAAGTATCAAACAAAACAAAGGCTGAATCCCTGCTCATTACTTTCCAAGCTGTGTTACTACAGGTAAACCATAAATGCCTACGAGCCTCATTTCTTTCACCTGCGAAACAGTGGCAGTACCACCTGTTTCAAAGGTGGGTTTATGAGGATGAGTTGTGATTATGTAAGAAACTAGCCTAAGATCTCATGATGTTAAGTGCTGATAATAATACTTACCTTGATTCCCAGAACCTCCAAAATAATCGTAATAATAAAAAACATAATTACTGTGCTGGTTATTGTCAATTTAACACAAACTGGAGTCACCTGAAAAGAAGGAACCTGAACTGAGAACTTGCCAGACCAGAATGGCCTGCGGTAATGTCTGTGAGAGATTGCCTTGATTAAGATTAATATGGGATGCCTAGCCCAGGGTGGGCAGCACCACTCTCAAGCAGGAGGGCCTGGGCTGAAGAAGAAAGTCAGCTGCACATGACTGAAAAGGAAGCCAGTGAGCAGCATTCCTTCCTGCATGGTGAAGCAGGACAAGCTGCTTAAAAGGCAAACATGGGTGAAGGCAGAGCATATGCATGCTTGTAGGTGCCGTGCAGCTCATTATATACATGTACTACAACTTTGCTTTGGAAGGAACTGAAGGCCACTGAGAAATATAAACGGATAGAGTGAAGTAACTGTTCTAGATGATCAGATCCAAGCACCACAGGTAGACAGAGGCCCCTGAACACCTGTGAGATCCATGGTTTCTACCCACTCAGAAACCGCTCTTTTCTGTTTTTGTTTTTTTTTAGCCGACTCAACAAAGACTGGGGCTTTGTAACTCACCCCTGTGCTTCATGGTATTATAAATTGTTTGTAATTACAGTGTCATGCTTGTAAAAATATCTTTTGTGTGTCTTGAATCGTGTCTCTTTAAATTGGGGTAGACTAAAAGGTAAATAGAGGAAGACATGCATAACATGCTCTGGGATTTGGGCATAGCAACATACATCCATACAAATAATATATATGCAAACACTTAAAACTTTTCAGTATTATTTTCAGTATGCTAAATGTCCTAATTTTCATTCTGAAATGTAGTGTTATTCTTACCATTCTCTTCATTTGTCTGGTACATCGGGCACAGTACCACACCAGGCGAGGGTCATTTACTTCTTTGTCTGTCACTTGGGGTTTATGGCAGTCTTGGTGGTAGAGGTTATGGCACTCTTGACATTCTACTAATTGGTTTCCAGATGCCACCGTCATTTGTCTAAGAAAAATAGTGCATTAAACACTATAGTTTCTTCAACATACAATTTACAGTTACTTCCACATTCTTCTGGTAAAACTTGTTATGATAAGGAGAAAGAATCCCAGAAAGAACCCCAAGAAGGAAGGAAGGAAGAAGGCAGGAAGGAAGAAGGAAGGAAGGAAGAAAAACCAAAAGTTATCTAAAGATGATTACCTCTAATCATTTACTCTAATTTATGATGTTTGATATATATATATCTGATCAATGTATATAAATCTGAACAGAATGAAATAGCAAGTGTATCAAAAAAGGCATCACCACATGCTTAGCATATTATACTATGCGTTCTGACAAAATGAAACAGTCACTAGGTCTCTCCATGTCAGTACTTCTATAATATTCATTTACGAGATGCTAATTTTCATAGCAGTTGGGGTAAAATATACAATATATGTGGAAACAAATGTTTTATGCAGAAGCACATCAACTCATTTCCTGCAAGGGTCACAAAGCCTGTATTTCCTTAGTTCCTATATAGTAGAAGTTAACATTCTTATTAGAACAGTCACAGAAATTATTTATAAAAAAAAAAACAAAAAACAAACAACAACAACAAAGTATCTTTTACTAAGCAGAATTATCTGCTTCTGTAATTATGCATTCTAACTTTAAAATGTCATTCAAGAGCACCTACTAGTCACATATATTTCCACTACTCTTAAAGAGACGTAGTAGTGTTTTGAGAAACGACATGTACCAATTTATTTTTTAAGTGCCATCAGCAATTCAGAAAAAACAAAAAAGCTATAAATACGGCTTAAAAAGAAAGATGGAATTGAGGTTTCTAATGGATTCTTCCTCACTTTAAAAAATGCATAATCATTTTCCTTTAGAACTCAAGAATGAAGACAGTATATTACTACAATACAACAGACTAAAGTGGCTGAGGTCTGAAAGATCAATTATCCAATAGTCTTCAGGGTGTTAAAATGTTTTATGTGTAGTTTATAAGTGTATTCTATTTATTTGTTCCTCATCCCAAATAATAAAAACAAAACAGAAAATTTCCAACAAACTACTTGATTTTAGGGGTTGAGATGCAGGAATAAACAAAGTTGGAAAAGGTTGTTTGATCCTTCTTAAAAAAAAAAACAAACACAAAGTGAATAAACTGTAATTAATAAAAAAAAAAAAAAAAACCAATAACAAAAAGAAACACCCAAAAAATTTGGACACGGGGTCTTTTCTGAGAATGATACTCCAAACAAGGAGCGTACATGGAGATAACTTAGAACCCCTGCACAGAAGTAGCCTATGGCAGCTCAGTGTCCAAGAGAGTTCCCCAATAATAGGAACAGGGACCATCTCTGACATGAACTCATGGGCTGGCTCTTTGATTGCCTCCACCTGAGGAGGGAGTAGGCTTACCAGTCCACAGAGGAAGACAAAGAAGCCAGTCCTGTTAAGACCTGATAGACTAGGGTCCCATGGAAGGGGAGGAGGACTTCCCCTATCATTAGACTGGGGGAGGGGCATAGGAGAAGAAGAAGGGAGGGTGGGATTGGGAGGGGATGGAGGTGGGAGCTACAGCTGGGATACAAAGTGAATAAATTATATTTAATAAAAAACCAAAACATACAAACAAACAAAAAAACATGGCTGGAGAGATGGCTCAGTGGTTAAGAGCACTAACTGTTCTTCAAAAGGAGCCAGGTTCATTTCCCAGCACCCACATGGCAGCTCACAACTGTCTGTAACACCAATTCCAAGGGCCCTGACACCTCCACACTAATGCACATAAAAAACAAAAGAAACAAAAAACAAAACAACCTGTGATAAGTATAACTTACCGACAAACAACACAGGCCAGTCCCATTTCCATGGCAAAATCGTCAGCACTAGTTTCTTCAAAGCTAGAGAGGTCAGCCATGGCTAAATCCTTGCTGGTCTGGACCGTGATAGGAGAGGACCGTGTGTCTGCTTTCTCTAATCTAGGCTTCTTTGGAATGTCAACTCCTTCAGTGACATCTTTCATCTAGAAGACCAGGTGATAAGAAATCATGAAAGTGACATAGCATAAACTCTAAATCACTGACAGAAAAGAGGACAACAGATGACTAAGTTCACTTCCTAGTCATTTCTCACACACAGGGAGAGTTAAATACTTTGAAGACCAGTAGAAGAATCTTAACTACAATTTGAGTTGGAGTCATGGGAGGAATAAAGGGGAGAAAAGAAGGGGGGAAATTATGTAAATACAATCCTCCTATATCGAATTCTCAAAAATTAAATTAAAAAAGATAATTTACAATTAGTATGTTAAACTAGCAAGATATAAAAAAAAATCAGAGTAGTATAATAAATATCTGTATTTCCCTTTGCATTATAGATACTAAAGAATTCTGGAAATTCAATGAGTATACTATTTTTTTTTTTCTCATTCAAGATGTTTGGACTAATATGGTTATTTAAAACAAAATCAAACTAAAGACTTTCGGGCTAATGAGATGGCTCACTGAATAAGGTGCCTGCCGTACAAGCATGAAGGGTCAAGAGTTTGGATCCCTAAAACCCATGTAAGAGTAGGCACAGAGGTGGCAGTTGGCCAGTTAACTGCATTAGCTGGAATTAGTGAGCTCTGGGATCAGCCAGAGACCCTGCCTCAGTAAAAAGAGAGTGAGTACGAGGATTTTCACTGTTAACTCTGACTTTGAGCATCTGCACACACATGTATATGTGCCTACACATAAACACACATATATAGGAACACACACTATACACATTTATGTGCAAAAAATGGTTTAATTGTGATTAGGACTATTCAAGCTATATGAAAAAAGTAATGAATGAGTTCTCTTCCTACCTACACTTAATGCATTGCCATATTTGCTTCAAAGCTAATTCTGGCAATTTTAAGATATGAAAGCTACTGGTAAACTCTGTTGGATTCACAAAAATTAAATTCTGAAAATATGTAGAGAATATAGAAATTTTAAAGATTTTTGGCAAAGGTATATTTTGGTTGGCAATTTGCTATTTCTAGTAATAATAAATATATATAATATCTTCACATACACTTATAGGTATATGGCTTATAAAACTTAACAAGGTCACAGAAATACGTAAATACCTCATTGAAGCTATACTGTAATAAAGAAAAAAGAGAAATCTGGATGCTTACTAGTAAAGTAACCGGGAAATTTATTTACTCATAGAATGATTGTTAATAGTAGCTAAAAAAAAAAAAAAAAAAAAAAAAAAAACCAAAACAAAAGAAAACAACTAAGGCCTACACAAACCAACATAAATTTCAAAATCACACTGTCTGGCCACAGTCACTGTTCAGTGGGTAAACGCATTTGCTACCAAACTGATGACCTGAATTTAAGCAAGACACACTTGCTAGAAAGGGAGTTTCCTTCTAGTTTTCTCTGGCTTCCAGACACACCTGTGGCACAAGTGCCTCACATTCCTATAAATATATTAATGTAATAAAAACTTAAAACACTGTTGAGTGAAGAAAAGTAACTAAATGACATATAAACAGTATAATAACAATTGTGTAAGTATAAAAACACAAAGATAATGCAATGTCCATGAATATCTATTATTCAGTGATAGTATGAAAACATGGGACAATAAGCCTCACTTGAGGCAAGGGCTACTGAACACATTTTCAGTGCATTTTTTGTTAGTTGCTACTTTGACTACCATTTACAAAAATTACCCAAAATACACAATCAGGAATTGGCTGTAGCTTTCTCACTGTGACACAGTTCGAGTTTAGTCACATCTGGAGTCTCTCAGTTTTACTTTTCAAAACAACTATTGCAGCCAGAGTTATGGATTAATAGTATTCCCTGGGGTGCAAATGCTTGATAGCAACTATCTCAAGTCAACTGTCAGATATGTTTCTAGATTCCACACACTTTTTAAAAGTTCAACATCTCCAGCTATCAAAGTATTTTTACAGAGTGATCATTACATAGCTAGACTCATTGCTACATAAAGAAGTAGATGCAAGATACTCCTTCTGCCTATGAAAGTGGTTCATCCTTTGATAAAATTAGCTAAAACTAAACCTTACCTTATCGGCAGGTCTCTTCTCAGCTTCCTTCTTTATCTTTTCAGCTGTGAGGACTTTGCCATTACTATTGGCAGAAGGGAGACTAGATGATGCTTTGGGCTCTTGCTTGATAGAAAGAGTTTTTGTGCTTGAAATTTTGGGTGGTTCCACATCCTAAAGGATAAAATAAAAAGGTAAGAGGTGTTCATTTTATTCAAAATAGAAGGGCTGCTCAGTGGTAGGGCACTTGCCTACCATGTACAAAGTCCAGGCTCAATCCCCGGTCCTGAAAAAAAGAAAAAAACGTAAAAAGGAATAACCTAAACAATTTTCAGTTAAAACCCAAGATACCACATTATAGTCAATGTAACACTCTTTCCTACCACAGCCTTACTAAGAAACAGCTATCACAAAACCAGCACCTATTTGATGTTTTGGTGAATAGTGTGTCCACGAGGCCAGCACTGCAACCACATATCCATTACCACTCAGACTCTCTTGCAAGTTTATACCCTAAAAAGCTGTGGGCACTGAACCTGGGTGTGGACGCATCTTAGGCGTCAGATTCTGATTAGACTCAAGCTGGCCAGACGTTCCGTCTCCTCTCTCAGGAGGAAGCTGTGTCCCCATACCTGGGTGGCTGGGTTTCAGAAATACAACAGTAAAAGATTCTTGCTGAGAGCCATTTTGTGGCTGGTGGACACTACTCTGGCTGGCTTATTTTGTTGTAATTTCTACAACTCCACAAAATAGTCTTAGTCTCATTTTGCCAAGGTTCAGTGAAATAAAGTTACCAGATAACTCAGTTTCCCCACTATGAAGTGAGAAGAATAGGCAATACTTATTTCAAGGCACCATTACAACAAAAAATCATTATACCCACAAACCACTTAGAAAAGGTCCTAATTAGACACCGTAAAATTTGAAAGCATGTAATTTGAAACTACAAGAGGTAAACTGGACTTTCAAAAGGTTTTCCTGACTCTAGAACACATTCTTGTCACATAATGTTGCCATTCACTATCTATAATGGGGCCACATAGGTTTGGCGACTACAATTCTTATATTATCTTGTCCATATTTAATTCACTTTGTTGAAAAATTCCTATGCTATTTATATTTTTATCCTTAAAACTTTAGAGAACAATGAGAAATAAGTTTGGATACCTTTAACAGCCTAAAAAGTAATTATATAAAGAACTGGAAATTAAATTGCAAGAAGTGTTTTTTCTTATATACCAGGTAGTAAAAACAGCATATCTTCTAGACCTTCCTAAAGCTGTGACCCTTTACAACAGTTCCTCATGTTATGGTGGCCCTCAACCATAAAATTATTTGTTGCTATTGTTACGTATCGTAATGTAAAATACCTGTGTTTTGAGATGGTCTTGGCCAACCTCTATGAAGGGGTTGCAACCCACAGGTTGAGAACCAGTGTTCTACACCTAAATACCATTTCTTGATAGCTCTTTGAAAGCTTGAAGGAAGAGAACAAAGTTAAAGAATAGAAGACAGAGGATGTTTCAAGATAATCTAAAAGCTATCACGGAAGCACTCAGAACTCTTTCCAAGCTTTGTATTCAGCCAAGTACCTTTTGAGATGGACGATAACTTGAGTCAATGCCCCGAGCCAAAGACTCATCGAGCAAAGCTTTTAGCTTTTCAGCAGAATCTTTACTCTTTGAGTGTAAGAAACCTAGTGCTTTCAGAAAGATGGGATCAAGTTCCAAGTTCACTGTAGCAGCCATGGCAAACACCTGAATTAAAAAAAAAAAAAAAAGAGTAATTTAGGCAGTGTATAATTATATATCCCAATTTTTACCTGTTTTGTTTTCAAATGAGCCAAAAACAAATTTTTACTTATTAATTTCTTGCACTTCAAGAACTCCTTGGTGACATCCTTGGCTATAGTCCTTACCCACTGCACAACTGCAACCACTTTCCATGGCTGCACCTCTCCATGGATTTTACAGAGGCCTACCCACTGCCCTGTTTTCTGTTGTCATCAACCTTAATCAGGTCGATTTGGTGCTCAGCACAGTGCGCCTCCACCAGCTTGCAGTACATGGGCTCATCACAGTTGGATGCAAGCACACGAAGACAGGCCTGGCGCTTGTCTAGGCTTTGGCAGCTTCAGATGCCACATGTGAGGCCGTGGTGGATGAGGACAGTCTGCAGCACCTCTCCTGGAGCAGGGCTGACGTTCACCACCCCTCCAGCAGCACTGCCTTTCTCAGCCATGGCGGCGGATTACAGGAGAGGCCGAATCTTGAAGGCACCCGAACCTCCGTGTAATATCTATCTAGTCCACCACATTTTGAGACAGGCTCTCCCTATACACTCAGGCAGGACAGTTTGTGATCCTCCCGCCTCCAGCTCCGCACTGTAGAGTTTGGAGGTGTGTGCCACCACACCTGATAAGGGCAGTTAATCGCAGAGTACCTTTCTAGTATCTCTAACGATATGTCTGTAACTTATGACACACAACTAGCCTGCTTTTAAGTCAAGTTTACTCAACATCAAAATGTCTCATTTCAAATCTTATATTTACCACAAAAATAGAGATTTGGTGTTCACGGGGGAGCGGGGCAAGGATAGACACAGGAAGATAATGGCTAACAGGTCCACCGTAGAAGTCACTGCTGTTTTGTTTCTGTACACTTTTTCCTCCTCCTTATTTCTCTGCAATTTTTAATGTCCCAGAAAACATATTATTGGTAATCTTATTATATCACATAGATTGAGGGATCTCTTGCATTAAGCTAGCTCTCAAAAGCAAGGTCTCTGAATGATGATCCTTACCTACTACATGGATCTCTTTGGTCTTATAATGCTTGCTGTCCTAAGGTGCTTAAACAACATGCCAGAGAGTAGAGCCACACATCAAAGGTCTGCAAAATTCTCAACAGTCAAGTTTTATTTTCAGTTAATACCAGTGTTATCAGGTGGTTCTACTTCTGGCTGTCATTTTTCCAAATCCCTTCCAGGCAAAGAATTATTAAAATAAAAATATATTTTTGGTGTTCAATCCTTTAATCAATATACTAAGGTTTTAAATCTTCTTCTATCCTTAAGTTTAATGGCATAATAATGCAACACAGTTATAGGGCTACAGTTAAAGATCTCACCAATTCCACAATAATCTCCCATTTTCAGGGGTTTATAATACCATTAAAACTTCGGCAGGCTGAAACTTGGCATATAAAAGCACAGGTTGAAAACATATTTCTTTCCTTCCTTCTCCTTTTTTTGTCTTTTTTCCCTGCCAACTCTGTCAACAGAACACAGACAGACACAGACACACACACACCCACACAGCTCTTGATAAGGTCCTAAAAAGGTATTATAATTTTTATGATCAAAATTATTGTTAATTCTATGCTGTATTAAAATATCATCTCTCTGAATTACTTAGGTAATGGAGTCTGAAGGCTATTACTACAATGAAAAAAGTAACTATATTCAAATAGTTATATTAGTAAGAAGTTAACAAAATTGAGGAGGTTCTATTGCTGCTTTAAATTATATTACATATATTATCTCTAAAGAACAATAAGTTTAGGAGGATTATTTTAAAAAGTACTTAAGAGGAAAAATAATTTAATGTAACTTCCATGATTAAAGAAGTAAACCTGTTGTTCCAGATTCTACAAGACAGTCTAATCTATGACCTAATTTATTTATTTTTGTTTTTATTGTCTTTTTATTATTAATTAGAGTTTATTCACTTTGTATCCCAGCTATAGACCCCTCCTAATTTATATAGCTACAGACATACAAGTTATTTAACCCGGAACAGTCTGTTTCACAGGATACTGGCAAAGAGCTGGTGCCTACACAAATCTTTACAATATGACAGAAGCACTACTTTAATTATTTTTCTTAAAAATGGAGGCAAAATACTGTTATGTTTTTCTGTCTTCACTAACAAAATGACTACAGATTAGGTGGCATAAGGTGTAAGACTATAGAAACTGTCAACAACAATATTCTAATGAAATGCTCGGAGTCAGTTCCTTCTATAAAAGACTTGACATGCTTTGCACCCCTGCCATAAATTACTCAGATCCTTCAAACCCTGTGGTGCCCATGGAGGAGTGTGATAGGACGTGATATGTGTGGTTATAAGAGTGCTTGGTTTTAAACTCACGGAATAAGAAGTTTGGAGACCACTGCTCTAACTATCTACCAGACTTTAAATTTCTCCTTACACATCATGAGTTTTTAAAGTACAAATAGTCATTTTGCAATCCATCCACTGTTTTCATTCAGCCAGCCCTTCTCCATCCCCATGCTAACTTTATTAACAGCCCCCTCATTAACACATCCCCCTATTTTTTTCTACTTTTTCCTCAAGCACTTTCTTGGTCTTACTAATGAAGTTACATTTTATAGCCTCCTACAAGGTAGTGTTCCTTTGACTTGTTCCATCTGAAAGGCTATAATGGTATCTAAAATCTAGTGATTTTAGAAATTCCGTGACTCCATTTACTAACCTCCCACCTGCATCTCCACTGCTATAATTACAGGCTCTTCTTTCTCTCTCCCTGTCATTACCTTTAATTTAGCATATATTATGATCTTCTGAAACTTTTTATAATTTTATTTAGTGCTTTAATGGTAAGAACTTTATCTTTAGCAAGTAAAATGTAAAGAGTGCCATACCTAATCTCTTTGACTACAATCAATAGCCTCCCTCCTTTTCAAATTACATCTTCCTTTCTTTTTTCCACTGTCTTTACTCAAGAATTTATTTGAGGTACATAGCTAAGCTTTTTTCTTGCTTAATTTTCTCCCTTTTTCCTTCCTTCCTTCCTTCTCATATCATATGTCCTCTGAATTGATGGTGGCTTCAGCTGTCCCCTGTGCTGCTTCTTTATTGACACTTTCTTACTCAAACTTCTTTCTCAAACCAAACAGAGACAGCTAGGTGGCATACAATAAAAGTTATGTGCATGTAAATAAAGAACAGGAAGATAGACCAAAGAGTATGTTATTGTGAGATTATTTTAAAAACATGTTGTTTAGAACAAGGAGACATAAGAAAATTACTATTACTTTGAAACTATCAATGACCTTGTGCAACTGCACAGGCATCTCTTGCAAACATGTTAGAAGTGCAAACTTTTGGTTTCTAACCCTTAATTTACAGAAGAAAAAAACTCTGGGGGGTGAAATCAGACAATCCAGATTTAATTTGCAGTTTAAGAACTGCTGTCCTGAAGATCTCACCTTTTGCCAGTGAACATAAACTTCTCTTTCAAACCCACTCCTTTCCACGTTTAACCTGGCTATCTTCCTAAGGAATCCTATTGAACATGACCCCAGTGGAACCACTTGTACCTCTATTTCTCCTAGCCAGTTTTAAGTCTAGCTTTCCCTTCACAAGTCACCTTCTATTTCTCTACTTTGTTGGAGTCACATTCCTTATTTTAAGACCAAGTATAAAACTTTCTTTGCATTGCTCTACTTTAACTTTTCTTTTTCTTTTTTTTCTATTTGTGACCCATTCTTGCCCTGGCTCATCTTATTTCTGCTGTTCTTACTATTGTTCCTGGGATCCCCCGCTTTAGTTTCACTACCAATATGTCCTTCGGCAATCATAAGCATCTTATTTTCAACTACCATCTCTAGGCAGATGACTCCCTATGGTTTTCTCTCACTTTCTTAAGCATTGACTCTTTGTTTCTCTTATTTCGCTTACTCGGCAAACAATGGCTAGATTATTATTCGATTAAATCATCAAAGTCTAATGTTCTTGTTTCTATGCAAATTTACTTTCTTTTCTATTCTTTCACCTGTCTTTAACTCATTCATCTCACTGGAGTAGAGCTTCTCTGAGCGCACAGGTGTACGTAGTGAGGGGTGCAGTTATCTCCCTGGCAATTAGAATTTAACAGGTGTTCTTAAATATGTATTGAATGAACTGCGTTTTTGCTAGAATGTCACTTTTCAAGGCTTCTGTTACGTCCCTGAAAAAAACAAACAAACAAAAAAAAAAAAAACACCCTGGCTAAACATATGCTTTCTTTTGATCTGTTTCATTGTGCCTGCTAGTTTCAAACAAAGTTCAAAGTCAATCATTTGGTCGTGCAGGAAATAAAGGAAACTGACTTTTTACTAAGATTACTATCCCATTCCTGTCTTTACAAGATTTTGTAATCCTTTCCAATAAACTTTTTCCCCCTTCCCACTGAGTACTTGGTTCTCGGGTATGTCTGGAACAGGAGATTTAAAAAACAAAACAAAAATCCCACAACCCAATTCAAAACAAACCAAGCGCTACAGAAGCTGAAAAGAGACAGGCAGGAGACACTTAGGAATGCGAGCCCTCTGATGGAACACCCAGGCGGCCTCGTACAGGGAAAAGTCCTTGACGCGGGAGCTAGCAAGGGAGCTGTAAAGCGGGAGCCGTGGAGACGTCTCCGGAACCCTTCGACCGAGGTCTGAGCAGTTCCACGGACCCGGACGCCGGGGCCGCGTCCTCGGTCCACAGCAGCCTCCGAGTCACAGTCCTCACAGAGAAAGAGGAGCGGTCAGGGGGAGGCACGCAACTGCCCGCAAATTATGAGGTCTACCCTCCGGTAGGGAGGAGACCCACACCCCACGGAGCTCCACTCCGCAGCCCCTCGCGGGGTCTCGAGCCTCGCCGAGGCGCCAGGAAGCGGGGACCCTCGTCACAACTCACCGCTCCGCCCCGCCACTCGGTCCGTTCCCGGCAGCTCTCTTCGAACCCGTCCCCGCCCTACCCAGCCTCGGGAGAGAGACACAAAGGTTCCCGCAACAGGTCGGGAGGGGAACGTTTCCTAGTGAGACAGCCGGAAGTGACGAAACGCCCCTTCCGGTCCGCCGGATTATGAATGACGGAGGGCGGGGGACTGCCCAGACACGCGGCCTCTGGATAGTTTTTTTTGAACTTCCACCTTCGGGGTTTCCCTGGAGGCGAGGGCTCGTCGGGCCGCGGCTTCCAGAAGTAGCCTCGGAGTCCCGGCTCGGGCCGGGCGGGAAGGCGCGGCGGCCCGCGTCGCCCGCACACGCTCTCGCGCCCTCCCTGCCTGGCCGCGCCCCTGCGACCAGGTAAGGAGGGCGCTCGGGCTGCTGGCCCCCGCCACCCGCGAGGACCGCGCGGTCCCTCGGAGGTCGGCGGGGCTGGGCGTGGGGGCGAAGGTGGGGCAGAGGAGGGCTCGCAGCCCCGGAGAGTTTCCCAGCCGCGCGTTCACCGCCGACTTTGCGCGTCGGTGCCGCTGAGCCGCGTGGGCCGCTCGGCCGCGAGCTGTTCCTGCCGTCTGCTTCGTGCGTGGGTCGAGCTTGCAGGGCAGCTTGGCGTTGTGAGGGTTTGCGTAGTCGTTAGGTGCGGCGGGGAGACCCCTGGGAGCACACTTCAACTTTTCCCCAAGACGTAGTTGGCCAGGGCAAGCCCTTCCTGATTGGACGCTGTGCGTGGACACTGTTTTACAGTGACTCCCAGTGGGCTTGCCGGATTTGGGGACGTTTGCTTACATTTGTCCTCATCAAAGCAGCGTTTCTCTTCCATTATTAATTTGGAACAGAAAATTTGAGATAGGCTTGCATGGAAATTGCTTTGGTTAAAAAAAAAAAAAAAGATACTCAAACACATACGACCCAGTTTTGGCTTGGGAATTACATGACTCCCATCCCCTGACATGTCCATCACCCAATTTCTGCCCATAAATTCCTTAAGGTCAGAAAAATATGGACTAATGTATTTCGTACCACATGATTGCTAAAGAATGTGACGTTTGTCAAGTTTCTCTTGTGCTTTTCAACAGAAATGGTGTTTAGAAGAAAGAATACAAAAAGTTAGCAGGAACTAGTGATGGTTTTGAGCATGTAAATGAATATAGTCTTGAAATGCCACGAGAATAAACCGTTACAATGCATCACCTGATTTGCTGTCATATTTAATGGATCCAACATTAAGCTGTATGAGTTTTTGAAAACTGCGTTGCAAGGAGCATACACTACTACAAAGATGATGGCCTTAGTTGAAATTGTGTTTCAGGCACATCATTTGAAGAGGCCTACCTTCAAGAATAAGATTGAGGGTTGAATGTTGTTTTATTAGTGAAAAATCACCATTAAACTAGTAAGGGGCCAAGGAGCAGTAGGCTTTCAAGGAAGGGGAAATAGGATGCAGTGGACAAAATACTAAAGCTTTGTGGTTGCGGACCAATGGAATTTTGTTTTAAACCTGCTATACTTTCAGCCTTTTATTTAAACAACACATGGTTTGAAATAAGCACAAACAATAATCCAGTAGGCCTTCCTAAAAGCAATCATTTGGCAGACATTAAAACATCTGGGCCTAACCAAGTGTCAATCCATAGTGTGGACAGTTACCTGGTATGTGTTGTGTTTATCCTTAAGTGCAAAGTAACTCACTGGATTCTTCTATGATCATTTATTGGGATGCAGGAGTTTAAACTTTGTATCCCAAAGTAAGTATTGCTTGCTGATAATAATTTTTTTCAGGCTCGCTCATATTTTCCACATATTTATACTTCATACTGAGCATCTCTGTTAACCACAAGGGGCATTATGACTCCATAGCAACAGACAATTCTTTGAATCTCCAAAGAGATTGTATACTCTTCTATAACTAAGATTTCAGTAAGCGTTTCACTTCCAAACTTACGTCATTTTATATGTTATTTTATAAAAATTACTCACCCTAATAAGAAAACAGGTAATTTTAATCATGGGCTAATTGCTGCTGAACTATAATCCTATATTACATATTATGAACTCTAAAAGCTGTATTTTTTCTTTGACTTTTATTTAGAGGTAATTGGCCATTTACGAAGGAACATTTTTTAAAAATCTGTATTATAATAAAGTAAAACTTCGGTTTGTAACTGGATAGTGCTGGTTGATGGAGAGAATTTGAGCAGGTTTAAATTTAGATTTCAGTATTTCAGAGAAATAATGTAAATGTACATACTTGTTAACTGTGTTAAACTTTTCATTTTGTATAATACATTCTGCTAATATGTATATTGACTTAGGAATTTATTTGTATTCCACCATTTTATGACTTGTTTTTTATACCTCGGTATCAATTTTTTCAGTGTTTATGAAAAATCAATCTTCAGTCCATCATAGTCTACACACTTCCTGGGAAGAAATTTTGAAATAAAAAGCATAGTTGGATTTTCCTATTAAAGTTTATGCATTTTAATAGTGTCACTAGGTAAAAAAATTTGTGAATAAAGTTGTAATGAACAGTAGGGGCTGAGGTGTAACTCAGTGACAAGAGTTCTTCCCTGGAATGAGTGCGGCCTGGGATTTGATCTGTAGCACTGACCAGAAAAAAAATAAAGTAGCCAGCGTTTACTTAGGGACTTGCTCTGTAACCACCATTGTCCATTACCATAGCACACAATATGGAAGGTGCTGCTTTTACTGTCCTCAGTTCATAACTGAGAAGACGAAGATGAAGAAAAGTTTTCTAGCTCCAAAGAGTCAGAACCGGTGTTTAAGTTCAGTTAATTTGTTCAAGAGGTCAGGTTTTTAGCCATCACTTTATAGTTCTTGAGGAAATAAATACTCTGTTTGCTAGATATGTGTGCAAACTCTTTAGTAGTTAAGGTTTCTAGTTTGTCTGAAAAATCAGTATTTGTGTCTTTGCTTCCTTGTTTACTTGTTTGGATGGACTCCAGTTACAGCCATCCTGAATCAACTCATGTAGGTGAACTTGTTTCTTCATTTTTATTTACACTTAAGCCTTAAAGTAGATTGAGTTGCAAGAGAAAATGATGTTGGTGAATGAAGTTACTGTTGAATCAGACTGGAGCTCTCAGCTGTATTCTTGTAGTGATCGTTGGCCATCGGTTGTATATGCGTTCATCTGTATTCATCCCATAAACTAAAGCTTAAGTAGCATTAATCATTAAAAGTGCCATGTGATAAGCTACCAAGGAAACGGATGCTAGTTAAGATGCTAAGGAGTGACTGACGTGTGTTTTTAATTCATGTGATCAGGAAAGGCTTCTTGAGATGATATGTGTTAGAGAAATCAGTGAAATGAGGAAGGGAAAATGAACAGCTAAACAAAAACTTACATTGGAGGTTCTGGCCTCTTTGAGGAACAGGAAGGAAGAAGTATAGGTGGAAGGAGTGAGAAAGGATATTAATGAAGTCAGCAAATAGAGAGGGAAATCACATTGAATCTTAGTGTGCTGAGGGGCTACTGGTGACCTGGCAGGAGATTGTGTTTAAAGACTGTTGTTGGAGAATAGGCTTGTGTGGAAAGTGGGGTGTATAAGATATATGACATTCCTGTAAGATTAGCTGGTGATGACTTTAAAAGGTGGTAGTAGGAGATGCTAAGGAATTAAAGTTCTATTTCAAAGGAGGAGATAGCAGGATATGAGAGAGAAAGGATTTGAGTGGGGCTTCAGTCATTGAGGTAGGTGAACGGTGTTGCTGTTTGATCAACAATGGGACCATTTAAAAAGTGAACAGTTTAGAAAGATACTCAGTGAAATGTGAAGGAGCCTGGAGCTCAGGCAAGACACGCCTGAAATAAATGTAGGAGCCAGATAATATTGAAAGCCACTGGCACTGCAGGACACGGTGATGCTGTGGAAATGTGACTCGTGCATGGTGATGGGCCACGAAGTCAGTCAACAGTCAGAATTTAAAAGAAAAGGGAAAAACAGCATAAGATAATAGGATTTTTTCAGTATAATAGAATAAATGTTCATGACATATCAGGTTTTGTGGTGCTTTTTCTGGCACTAGAAATTATATTAATATATATATTGGCCTGAGCTACATCTTAGCCTTTTCTGATTTTGAAATTTCCTTCCTAAATTTCCTAGGCTAGCTTTGAATTCACCATGTAGGACAAGTTGGCTTCGTATTTGTAATTCTCCTGTGTGACTAGAATTTGAGCCATGATTCATTGAGAGATCTGAATGGAATCAGGAAACAATGACAAAGAATTGTATCCAGAGTTAAAAATTGTCAAATAACCAGTATTTGGAATGGAGATTTTTTTATTAAGAATTATGAGGTTGGTATCCTTATTAAAAATATTTTAATAACATAATTTCTATTTTCACTTTGGTAAGATTGTTCTCGTAATTAAGATGTGCTTTAATTTATATTATACTTTTACAATATTAATATTTTCCAAAATTTTGGGATTTTGAGGCAGATTCTCATTAACACAGGCTGGTTCTAATCTGGCTGTGTGTTTTGGGATGACTTTGAACTCCTGATTCTTCTGCCTCCACTTTGAGCAATGTAAGAATATTATTTATCCTTAAAAAAAAATATGAGTTTTAAAAATAGATCCCTTTAGATTCAGTTAATACTTTGAGTTTTTGAAACTGGTTCTCTCTGTAGTTTCCCTGTCCTGGAATTCACTGTGTGGACCAGGCTGTCCTTGAACTCAAAGAAATCTGCCTGCCTCTCCCTCCTTAATGTTGGGATTAAAGGTTTGAGCCACCAAACCTGGCTAGTATTTTTTTTAATGCAACAACAATAAAAAATACTATTATTTTGCTGCATAACATAATTTTTATCTGTCATATAGAATGTAATTTATTGTGTAATATTGAGTTGCAAAGGATCCTGACTTGAACTTTGAACATAAAACATTCAAATTGCTTTTTAAAATTCTAGCTGATAAAGAAGTATGTTTATTTTAAATATTCTTTTCTTTCTCTCCCCATCTCTCTCTCCCACACACACACTCTCACATCTTGTCTTTCTCTCTCAGAGAGATCCACTTGCCAATTCGATTAAAGGAGTACACCAACAAAGCCCAGCAGG